TTTTTAAACTGTCGCGTTCTGGTAAATTCGAGAACCCTGTTGCTTATTCGAGGTTAGAATGTTCTACGCGCCGAACCTTCTATGCCGATTGCTCCAGAAGCATCCGCGTGCACAAAAGGGGCTCCGCGTGGCGAGCCGGGCTCAGTCTCGCCCCAGCGCTCGATCCTGCTGTTTCGCCCACATCGACGCCTGGGACGCTAATTCTTCTATTTTGTTTTGGGCACAAGTTCACCCCATTAGACCTTCAGGTTAAACGTACAGGGTGTTTCTGCAAAGCATTTTTAGAAAGAGATAAGGCAAGAAAATTTATAACGTAAAAAAAAAAGAAGAAAAAAACTCGTCCTGTTCGTTTTGTGCTTTCTTACTGTTACAAAAACGCTCAATTTCGATGAATTTTTTTTTATCGGCACATTTTTGCGATTGCGGTTCTGTTCTCGGGTGGTCGCGGCGGGCGCCTAAGAGCTGCGCTCTAAACGATTTAGTAAAATTTAGTTATGCTAATTAGCATTTTTTTTTTTGCGATCCTTGACGTCAGCCGGGGCAGATAGTTTGTTCTCATAGAGAGTTTCTTTTTATCTCAAAACATCCTATTTTTAGGGATTTTTGAAAGCTTTTGCAGAAACACCCTGTACACCAGCGGTCTCAGACACGCGGTCCGCGACTCGCTGGGACGCGTCCCGGTTTCCATGCGTTGTAAATGGTATGCGCCATAGCAGGGATGGGCAGTATTTCAAATACAAGTATTCGAAATACGTATTTGAAATACTTTGTGTATTTTGCATTTGTATTGAATTACAAATTGGGTAATGTATTTGACGTGCGTATTTAAATACTAAAACGAGGGTATTTCAAGTACAATTGTAATTAAATACAATTTTGTGGACGAAAATACATCCGTCAAATATATTGTCACTGTCCAGAGCAGGAAGAAAACTACGTTCTGCACCGAATGCAGTGTCTTTCAATCAAGCACAAGCGTTTAGCGACTTTGTGATTACGGTGCTAGTCCAAGGCAAGAATAGTGAAAATCGAAGTTCACAGGCAGACTGGCTAAATTAGGGCCTGCAACAACTTGTGATGCTTTCCAGCCTGATTTCCATCCATATTTTCGCCTGGAGCATTCTAAATGCGCGGGTCGTCCAGATTTTCGTAAGTGGTGCGAGTTGCAACAATAAAAAATTATCTAGCTAGTGCTGCGCGTCTTGGTCGTCTCGGTTTTTTGTTGGTCTATACCAAAATGTATAATCGACAAAAAAAGCTGCTTGAAGCTCTGTACTTTTTTCACCTATTACGTCCAAGCTGATTACATTTTTATATGATTATATTTCTATTACATTGCTATAGTCGGTTACATGTTAAGAAGGTAGCGGCAAATTCCCCTCAAAGGGACTCATATATCCCTCCGCCACCACCGCATCCAATAGCGTCCCATCGTTTCCGTAACGTCGCGGCCAACGCGCGAGGAGGGTCTTGCCTTTCTGTACATATTCGCTTTATCTTTCGACTTTGACTTAGCATTGTGGAAGCCACAAGAGGGGGATTAGAGTTTCCCCCCTCCGATGAAAACAAATACGACTTTCGGGGATCAGCTTCCCCTTTCGATGGATACAAAGGCTGCTTTCAGTGAATTCTTTCGACTGAGGAGAGATTTGAAACGGGTGCATCACGCTTGTGGGAGGAGCTACTCCTACCTTCTTGCACTAACCCCCGAGTGTGCGATGCAAAATGAAAATGAGATACCCAGAAACCCGTTGCAGGTGTCCTGAAGTCGCTGACGCAAATTTTGAGGAATGTATTTGGAAAAGTATTTTGAGGAGACCAAATACATTTGGTTGTATTTATATCTTGCACATAAATGCTTTTTTGGAAATGTAATTAGATTTGTAATTAAATACATTTTTGTCGAAGTATTGTGTATTTGTATTTCGATACATATTTGCATGTATTTTGCCCATCCCTGCGCCATAGTAATCTTATCTCGCCGATTCATTTTCGCTCAAAAAGTAGCTCTGCTCTTTTAATTTATACTTATCGGTATTCAGTTGTCCTTTGTTTCGATTAATTGTCACCTTCCCAGCTTTTTGTAATGTACAACAATTACGCTACTGCTCCAAGCGCGAACTATTCGTTGAAGGATGCATCTCGGGGCTGCGCGAACTCTCGATCAGCGGGAGTAGCTGCCAAAAATAAAGCTGCGAGCTTGGGGTTAAAGCTTAAGTATTTGTTCAGAGTGTTGTAATAAAAATTGCCAGGAAAGCAAGAACTGTCAAATTAGCTGATTGATTTTTTCCAGGCTTGGTGAATTTCCGAACCGATGCCACCAAGCGAACTGCGCAGGCGCGCGCATTCCGGAAGTATTGCCGCCGCCATGCTACTTGTAGTCATCGCTCTCCGGCTTCCCGGCTGAAAAGGGCTCATGTGGGCGTACATCATAGTTTGGGAAGCCCCGGTGTTAGCTTGGATTCTCCTGCATATCAGTACTTTATAAGATTGTGTTGTTTGTGAAGCCTTAGTTTGTCATCAAGCGCAAAAAAACAGTTTCGCTCGTCTTATCGCTTTAGAATCGCTTTGTCGTCTGCTTCGTTGTCGTCCGTTTCTTCGCCTTCGTGAGCGCCCGTGAACCCACTGCGTTCACGGGGTGGTCTTACTGCAACAGCGGCAAAAACGACCAGGCCACTACTCCCTCGAGCACTCCGGGTGCTCCTACCTCTCAATAAACTTGGAAGCAAGTGAATATCTACCTCAACGCCAAAGAGCAGAAAATTCGAGGGACCATCGGATTGGTGTAGCACCGCGGAACAGCGTCAAATGTGTCGGTGAAATACTGAGCTATGTAGTGCGCAGGCATGGGCATAACTTTTATTCGACAATGAAGAAATACGAGCTCAATAGACATTCTTGGAAAGCGATAGTTTTCTAAGACTCGTTCTATTCTGGTTGAGAGCCTTTGCGACAGGGTACACATGAACTGCGGGGGGAAGCCTGCACACAAAGAAACCATCTACAAAAAGAACCTGCCTGACGAGCCATAACAACTCGCATTTAAATGAAACGTAACCATGAGAGATGCCTGAGAACTTCGGGTAGAGATGAGCTCTTGTGTACAGCTTCTATTCAATTTTATTTGGTTTGCTCAAGCTCCGAACGGTAAGAGCTGACCGACGGAGAATGCTTTTTTCCGCTGTGTCGATTGGTGTTAATACAGAATGGATCAGTAACGCCAGCAAAATCAGGTTGTGGCATAATCGCCCACTAAAAAAAATTAAGTCTGATTTTGAAAAAGTCGTTTTATTTCAAGTTATATATATATATATATATATATACATACCGAGAATCGCTGCTCTTTCTTCGGCGATTGTACTGATCTCTTGAAGCACAGTTGTGCTCAAAACATGTATCAATAACAGTTGTAACCACCAAAATGCATCAAGCAAACATTGTATTAAAAACGGTCGCCGCAAGGCAGTGTGGAAGTTCCGATTGAGATAGACCAACGGATATACCGCTACGGAGCGAGTGCTCTGAAAGATTCCAACGTACGGAACACTTTGGTACGCGCTACTACATCTCATGCCCTGTGTAAGCTTATACTTTTTAGTTATCGTGCAATCGGGTAAATATAAATTATAAATCAAATAACGAAACAAATCTAAAAACCCTTTTTCCTGCCGCTCTTCTGCCGTTTTCTTTACGTGTTTTAGACACTCTTTTCGTGCACTGCTTTCTTCCGGGAAGATATAAAATCTATGCCTTTTTGCCTGGCATAGAGCACCTTGACACAGAACGGGTGAAGACACCCAATAAAAACCGTGAGTAAACGGCCGACTAAAAGTTTCGTGCTAACCTGAAAATTCCCAAACGCCGGACGTACAACGCGCCTTGACGCGGCCAGAAACTGGGGAGAACTACAGGTACCAGAATGCACCGCGGCAGCGGTGGCGTCGTGCAACTCCTTGTGAGATCGGTCTATTGCTCTCTTGTTCCATTAAAAATACCAGCGCGTCAGCGGGGCGGTATCATTTTAATTCTTGATATCACATCACGTCAGGCCACAAAGTAGTCATATAAACAAATCAAATCTACAGATGTCACTGGCAAAACAGTAAGCTACAAAAAGCATAGAAGACGAGGTCTCTTCTCTTCAAAATCGTCTGACTCTCCTCCTCCCCCCCCCTCCCCCCCCCCCCCCCCCCCCCCCCCCCCCCCGGGCGTTGCGTTGGCCCTCGATCTTTCACGTATCGGCTATCTGGCCCCCAGGTGTGTTAGAGACGCAATGTTTGCATTAATTCATCATATCTTGACAACAGGTAGCAGAGTGTAGGAGTAAGCACTTTGGCGCCGATGGCGCAGGAATCACATCACTGCGACGAGCCATCCTTTGGTCGACATTGTCAGAAAACACCCAGTAAACAGTTTCGTTCTTCGAAAATAAAATAGCGTGAAATGATTTCCTTCTTCTAGAGTTTCAATTGTCGTCTGCTTTTTCGCACGTCTCAGCCTCAAACTCGTGTTTTGAAAGCACCCCTTCCATCAAATAGCAGATATATGTCGCAATGTGTTCCGGTCTGTCAACTCCTCGGCACATTTTTTTTTTTTTTCTTCTCCAGGCATCATTTACGAGGAAGCTCGATTCAGCTCCATAAATTAGACCACTTTAATACCGGTGTAGCAACGACCATCACAAAAAAACACACGAGAAACGCGAGTAACGTTTGTTTATAATAAACAACAGGCCTACAAGCTACAACCAAAGACACATTCCGCAGCAGAAAACTGTAGCCTTGCCTCTGTCTGCCTTGAATCGGAACTTGCCTGATCTCCAATAGCTTCGTTTGATTTACTGGGTCGTCCCAATCGCATATTTGTACCGTGAAAAAAAAAAAAAAAAAAAAAAAAAAAAAGATTGTCAACATTTTTTTAAATATTGGCACAAAGAAGTGTGTTTAATTGCGTATTGAGCCATGTAATTTTTTAGTAGTAGCTTTTGATCGAGGCATGCTAATAATAATAATAATAATCTTTATTTCTCCCCGCACGGTGGAAGTGCACTAGGAAGGTCAAAGACCCGTACCAATAGGCCTAGTAGGCCCTTGATCTTTGATATTGATATGCACCACCTTGCCACACATTGGTAGTGATTTAGGGTCCCGAAGCACGTCAAATAACTTTCGATATTTACTTAGAGTGGGTTCGGTACCTCGGGCCATTGCTGCGAAACCAATGCCCCGAGTTTCAGTACATCCCCACCCAAGCGTTCAGGCGATCGTTCAGTCTCCACAGTCGCTGGCCCCAACCCATGTCGCGCCACGGTCTGGGCGCTTCGTCCACGGCATCCGCGGAACTGTCCGGCTCCGTCCGAGACTCCTCCCCCACCATGAAGAAAGAAATTATGCGGCGACGGCACATGGGACAGGCGTCCAGTTTGGAGAAACAGGCGCCGCACACGCAAGTGTGACGGCAGGGTAGCAGTGCGTGCGTAGCAGACGATGCCTGGCAGACGACGCACAGAGGCTCCGGGTTGCTGGGCTCGTTTGACGACCTTGCGTCCTGGTTGCCAACTGCTTCTTCCATGGGAACGTAGAGTGGCTGGGTTGAGCAGGGTCAGAATCTACTAACCTTTATTTATTAATTTAGCCTAACCCTCAAGGCCAGAAAGTTGGGGGGGGGGGGGGGGGGGGGCGGTTAGGCATTCCCCTCCCCCCCCCCCAAGAAAAAAAAATTCTAGCTTTGCCACTGGTACGAACATGCAAAAATATAGAAGGGTGATTTCAGATAAGATCGACCAAAGGGTGGCTGGTCGACATTTTTAAATCAACTGATGTTTTTATATGACATTGTCTAGTGTCTGGTATAAACGAATCCACACTTAGTTTTGACCAGAAAAAAAAATTTGGAGACAAGAAAAATCGTAAGGCAGGGAGAGGTGGACAGTTGCAATAACGCGCACTGATGGAGGGGGCAAGTTTGAAAGTGAATTAAAACAATAAAATTAGGAGAATTTTAAAACTTTTTACAAACAAACTATGGGTACAACTTGCTTGTAATATAAAGTAATAATATTTATTAAAAATTTATTTAGTTTTCTAAAAATTGCCAAACATGCCTGCTCGAACGACAAATGGCAAACTTTGGAAATCTGTATCTCATGAAATAATTTAATCATTATTACATAACTTGAGACATTATTTTACTAATATATGGCTATTATTGAAAAAATAAATAAGGTATCTGAATGACACAATAGTTACAATATATTTAGGCAAACATGGGAAAAAAATCAAACAAAGAAAAATTTCAATGCGAATAAAAAAAAAAACACCACCTTCGATTTTTTTAAAATTTGGGTACCCTGTTATACTCTATTTCGGCATTCATTTCTATTAAAAACATGTTGCATCATTGCACTGTGAAAGAAGAAACAACTCCCCAAAGTAGGGTCCTTTTTCAATGCCTACACTTAGCAGTGTCCTATACAAGAAGTGACTCTGAGTTCCAGTTTCATGAAACTTGCACAAATCTTTTATATACATTTATTCAGATGAGGTCATTGATGAAAAGAGCGATCGGTCACACAGTAAAAGGGAGGAGAAACTATATACAGCATTTTACATAAGCGTACAAAGTGGTATCATATTAGAGACTAATGATTTGAGAAAAGATGATGCAGTGTAAAGTTGTACCTTCCGGTATATTTTACATCTAGAGTAAAATAAATAACTTTACTTCCACACACAAAAACAAAGATATAATAGTAAAATATTTAGGTTGGCTGTGTATTTACGATTACAAACAATTCCAGGTGACGGATGCCATAGTGCCTAACTGGAGCAGCTTCGATGCTCTCGGTGTATGAATGAATCGTGGCAAGCCGATATATTTTATCCTGCTCGAGGATAACATTTCGGGATTGTTTTTTTATAGTGATCAGATAAAAATTATTAGTAACCACCAACAAAAACAGTAGGTTAAATACCCCGTGAAGAAAAATGTGATAAATAAGATGTCCCTGCATTCAAAATGAGCAGTCCTTGGGAAATCAAATTCGGCACTTTATGCTAAGGTTTTCCTCGCTGTACCCATTTAATAAAGTTGCTTCCAAGCAGATCCGACTGTCCGTGCTACATATACGTCACAGGTCCCTTCTGTTGATGACTTGCTGAGCCGCCACGCGTGCCAAGACTGAATGCCAGGGAAGGCGCGCACCGTCAGCCACTCTTCTTTTTTTTTGTTCACGGTACCGAACAACCTCATTTTCGTCCAGATATACAAGATGCACGCCTTTCAGTTTCTTTGATAGAACGCTCACCATTGTTCTGGCCGTCTGAATTGCGCTTACTGAACGTTCTCTCAGGTTGTTCAGCGTGGCCTGGTGCTTCACGAGTCCGCCAACTCCGTCACATGCATTTTTCCCATGTCCAGATGCAGAAAATAACCACTGGGCTTGTGGGCAATCGTCCTTTGCAAATTGGTGAAGCTGGTAGCGATTCTTGAAATGACTGGCGGCGCCGTCACTTACGTACGTCACGTAAGAGTATACCGCAACGTTGTCTTCAACCCACTCCTTCACTTTTTCTAGAGCCAAGCAAGCGTGAGCGGCGTCGTGACACAGGTCCTCACTGATGATGGCAAAGCTGTTTGTAGATTTTCTTGTCGTCACTACACATGTAAATATCGAAACTTGTTTTTTTTTTTTCCAGTGATATGCTTGCACTTCGTCAGGAAGCACGATGGTCCAGTTTTCAGCAAAGTCAAAATGAAAGACAATGCTCCCGCGTTGCATGCACTGTTTTTCATCGTAGATCGCTTTACCTTGCGTTTGCCGGATATGGTTGTGAAGTACCCAACTTCCAACCGTCACTTGGATGACTTTTAGGAAAGTCTCAGGTTCCAAACTTTTTTTCACAAGGTCGCCGGACTCCCATGTTGCAAGCACAATCTCTTCATCCTCCGGGATATCAAGTTCCTGGAGTGTAAGAAACTGGCCTTTTGGGCAGTGATCACAGTGTCCTTGAAGGCACAGTTCTGTTGCTGGGTCGCACAGAAATGCCGAGTTCATTTCACCAGTGTTGAATGTTGAGCCTGTAACGTTCTCTAGAGCGGCAATACAAAGATAATAATTGGCGCAGCGCACACAAACGCACACTTCCTGGTGTGGAATACATTGGACCCATCTAGGGCGCAACGAATAAAATTTCGTTAGCCCAACGCCGGAATCGGGATGCTTGTCTTTTTATATACGGAAGGCCTCTCGTATTGAGCGTGTCATGAAGCGCTTTGGCACGAACGTTTTCTCTCCGTTGAGCATGACAGAGATGACGTCCTTCTGGTTGGGACTTTGGCGCGAACATTGTAGCTCGTCTTTCGTGAAGTACTCTAGGGCAGCAGACAGGTTCTCAGGGCTCACCTTGCACCTCGTGTAAGGATCCGGCTCATATTACACGCCATGCTTTTCCTTGAGTTTTCGGGATTTACTGATGAGGTACATTGAGGCCTGTGGAATCATCTTTTGAACCTCATTCTTCGTCAGTGTTGACGGCAGGAGTGTAAGCAGTTGACAACGTTCCCGGAGAGAGGTGGCGGTTTCAAAGGCCTGCCGAAAGTTGTCCACCCACTCAGTGCATGTGGAGCATGTTGGTTCGGACGACCCCGATGGTGCGTCCCTGTCGTACGCAATATGTAGCCTTGAGCGTATATTCTTGACAGCAACCTGCTCCAGTTCTGTCTGCTTTCTCTTGACATAGGCAGGCCTGTCCCGACTTCTTACGACGCTTGGTTGTCTCAGCGGCGACACATCTGTAGGTAGTATGCTGCGATTTAGATCTTCATTTGCTTCTTCAGCTGGCACAAATATGTCAGGGCACTGCTCTGAGCTTCGCATCGAGATCTCCTTAGTGATGTGCATGAAGCAATGGTAGCACAGGTAGTCCGTCGCACTCACTTTGGTGGAACAGTCAGGCGAAAGAATTTGCTTCAACGAGTTTAGGTCCAACTCGCCAACACTTGGAAAATTCCGCTGCTTTGGTATAGTCTTTTTGTGTTTGCAAAAGTAATCTGCACAAAACACTCGTTCGGAGCTCCAGGACGTCTTCATAATGTATACATAAATAATAGAAATTAAACCCCAACTGATGGCATATAATTGCCAAGTGAAAGAACTACTGGGTGCACAAGTGACAAGTCCGAGGCTGAGGAGCTCACTCACTGCAAACATACATTTGAAAAGAGAGGTCACAACTGAGGCTGTCGGCAAAGCTTGATCCACGTCAAAGGAAGAAAGAGGGAAAGTCTCCAGACAAAAAATTGTGGTCAGCGGCCTTCGAAAAAGACTTACCGGAATCGCACTGTCGTCCCTCCACGCGCTGATATGAAAGCACCCGAGCTTCTACCACGTGGTTCATGACACAGCCTGAGCCATGTCGGCGACCGGTTCGCGAGGGGTTGGCGGTGGGGTTACGTTGATGGTCACTCGGATTAGCCCTTGCTGTACTGAGCTACCGCCTGCAGTGCCTTATCGCCGGCTGGTGTCAACAACGAGAACACACACACCCTGTCTACACCAAAACTACAAGCGTTCACCGCACACGCGTCGCCGCCGCTTTTAAGCTTTTGTGAAATTGCTTTCTTTTGCTGCGGAGAACCGCCTTATCTTAACTACGCGCCTGAAATCCTTCCAGGCGGGCGTACACAATATCAAGCGTTTCGAGAAATGCCCGTGGAGTAGAACTATGGGAAAATTCGGAGCCCGCGATGTCGATATCGTCGCCGTTGTGTTAGTACGCCGTCGCGTACTGCAGTCCCCCGTTGGGGGAGGGGGGGGGGGGGGGGCGGTCTTACTACGATAACATGGCGACAGCGTTTACACTCTATGTATTTACGCGAGGCTCGAGTATTTGGGGATAATGCTGCCGGTTGGTGTGCCCCTTTGTGCCTGATATTATCGCCCGTGACGCCAGCGAGTGAGATGGCGACAGGCATGACTGCTCAGTAAACAGGCGTCGGCGGCCATGTTTTGCTGGTTGAAGCGAACCCCCTTGTCCTTGACAGCGAGCGGGGAAATGCGAAAAAAAGATTGTATCGGCCGTTTTGCCAGAACTAGCGACGAGTGTCGTCTGCGGTTTCCGGCAACTATTTTGCCATAATCGTGAGCTTAGCGAGGAAATGATTTTTGCTAGCCACAGAACACTACCACGCAGAAAGGGAATGCTTGAACATGTTTTTGTTCTGGATATATATCAGGGATATATATGAGAGAGAGAGAGATGAAGGTAGAGCGGAAGAGGGAATAGCATATAGTGTCGCAGGAGAATAAAGTAAACAAAGTTCCTAGTGGCCGATGGCTGCATGATCTTTTCTCGGATCACTAGTCCGTAATATGATACCTCTTTGTACACAGTAGTTTCTCCTTAATTTAAGTGTGTGAACGATTTCTTTAGTTATCATTGGCCTCATCTGAATAAAAATATATAAAAGATGTGTGTTGGTTTCATGAAACTGGAACTCAGAGTCAGTTCTTGTATAAAACACTGCTAAGTGTAGGCTTTGAAAAAGGACCCTACTTTGGGGAGTTGTATCTTCTTTCTCAATAAAATGATGCAACATGTTTTTAATGGAAATGAATGCCGAAATAGAGTATAACAGGTTACCTAAATTTAAAAAAAATCGAAGGTGGTGTTTTTTTTTTATTCGCATCGGAATTTTTCTTTGTTTGATTTTTTTTCCATGTTTGACTAAATATATCCGAACTATTGTATCACACAGATACCTTAGTTATTTTTAAAATATGAGCTATATATTAGTAGAATAATATCTGCAAATTATATCATAATGATTAAATTATTTCATGAGATACAGACCTCCAAAGTTTGCCATTTGTCGTTCGAGCAGGCATGTTTGTCAATTTTTAGAAAAATAAATAAATTTTAAATAAATATGATTACTTTATATTACAAGCAAGCTATCCCCATAGTTTGCGCCTAAAACGTATTAGAGTTCTCCTAATGTTATCGCTTTAGTTATTCACTCTCAAACGGGCCCCCTCCATCAGTGCGCGTTAATGCAACTGTCCACCACCTCATGCCTTACGATTTTTCCTGTCCCCAAGTATATTTTCTAGTCAAAACTAAGTTTGGATTCGTTCATACCAGACACTAGACAATAACATATAAAAACATCAGTTGATTTGAAAATGTCGACTAGCCATCCTTTGGTCGATCTTATCTGAAATCACCCAGAAACATTAATAAACTCGACCATCAAAGAACAACACATAATTACACAAGAAAGGGATCAATAACGTTCGTATAGCAAAGATTGAAAGAACAGGTCAATTGATAGCATTGAAACAATACTACTGGGTAGTCGATTCCATTCAGCAATAGTATGTGTAAGAAACAAGTAGAGGGAATTTCCGAAAAACCAGAAGCGTGTTTTTCGGCCCGCACAAATAGACTATGCATCGCAGAAAGCTCGAACTCAGTAAGAATCTGACATAAGGGTTGGGATAGAACGTAAAAGTTTGAGACATGAGGTTACCTTGATTAAAAAATAATTAAAAAAACCCCCAAAAAAGAAATCTTTATGAGTTGACGTCTATCTAAGCCTAATATCGTTAAAACAAGAAATTGCGCCGTAAAAACATGTAACATAAAAAAAAAAACTCGGCAAGAAAGAGGATAGTATTCACTTCCTTGCTGACAAGCTTTTTTTTTTTTTTTTTTAGAGCGCAGCTCTTAGGCGCTCGTTTCCGGCTTGAGCGGCGTCGCCGTCGGCGTAACCGCAAGGTCATGTGACCCCCAAGGTCACGCGACCCCCCTCCCCCGAAGTCACGTGACCCCCCCCCCCCCCCGAGGTCAGGTGACCCCCCGGAGCATATTCAAGAATGAGGGGAGGAGGAGGGGGAGGGGTCTACCCTCCCCTCAGTACCCTTCCCTCCTCCTCCTCAAGAGCTGCGCTCGAATTCGGCGTTACAGGAAGTTGTAAACGGCTTTCACTTTTTTTTTCTCACTAAAATAGGTACTACAGGCTTCCACAGCGTCACTTCTTGTTTAGATTATATTAGGCTCAGATGAATGTCGGCCCATAGAGACATTTTGTTTTTCTTAATTATCTTTTGATCTGGGTGACGTCATGTTTTTAAACTTTCGAGTCCAATCCCAACCGCTAGCGTCACATTCTCACGAAGTTCGACCTTTCTGCGAGGCTTAGTTTATTTACCGAAGCCGAAAAACGCGGTTCTTGTTTCTCGGAAACTCCCTGTATTTAAAAACATTACTTTTGCAGATGGACTCTCCATGGGTGTAGGAACAAATGGTCCCGGAACAAATGGCCCAGAACAAATGGTCCCGGAACAAATGGTCCCGGAACAAATGGTCCCGGAACAAATAGTCCCGGAACAAATGGTCCCGGAACAAATGGTCCCGGAACAAATGGTCCCGGAACAAATGGTCCCGGAACAAATGGTCCCAGAACAAATGGTCCCAGAACAAACGGACCCGGAACAAACGGTCCCGGAGCAAATGGTCCCGGAACAAATGGTCCCGGAACTAATGGTACCAAGTCCAAGGTAGGAAAAAATAGTCCCATAAGAAGATTGTTTTGAAACTAAGATATACCATGCAATATACTTCATCCGTTATGCGGTAAAAAAATTTCAAAACTTTTTTCTAAAAAAAAAAAAAAAAGGTGTGTTAGAGACAGCTAAATACTTTGCCTAAAAAGTTGATTCTAAAAAAAGATGACCACAATTAGAAAAACAATGCACACTCTCTGAAACAAACACACTCAGTACTTGGAACACTAAGGTTGAAAAGGCAATGAAATAAAATTGGTGAATACACACATTGTCCGCCACTCGTCATAAAAAAAAACAAAATAAATAAAGGTAAAATGAAGCAATAGTAAACAGTGTTAGTGTGTTAAATGCATTTCTTTTCTAAAAGATAAGACATGCAAGCTTATTTCAGCTTAGGAATAGCACACCATGACACTAATGAAACAGAAAGGAATGAGACATAGTAAACCATACCTGTAAGGCACAGGTTCGGCCACTGGCCTGCTTCATGTACTGCGTAACGATGCCAGTGTCCATTTTACATACGTCGTCTGCTATGTGCACGGCACTCAATAGAGCAACCTGAAGGTAAACAAAAATCCGCATATCTCTTTTTCTTTTCCTAGAAAATGCAAAGAACTTAATGACATTCCCCGTGAACGTTCGGCTCAATGGCTAAGGAACTGAGTGTCTTGACACAAGCAAATTCGTCCCATTCGCTAACAATGCCGAGATGAAAACAGAAATACTGCAGAATCCCATTAACACCTTAATTTTCAATAGGGTTTCGGTATAAGGAACCCCTGAGAAAAGGAACCTATTCAGACGTTATACGTTCTTTGTTCAAAATACTCCTCTCCAACAAGTGTTCCGAAAATTGGAGCATGTGGAGCTTGCTGCAGAACCCAGGGGTCCTGGGTTCAATCCTGGCCTTGCCCGTTTCAGTCTAGATGAAAATTGTACCAGCGTGCAGTTGTGTACCACTACACTCAATGTACCGGATGAAAGGCTACAAGCGCGAGCTGCTTGCTCAGGGCACGGTCTCGGCGGTACAAGGCTAGCAGTTGTACTCCACTGGCTAAATTTCTCATTTAGAGCAGACACTAGATGCCCACTGGTAATGACTAACATCATGCTTTCTAAACATACACGACACAATTAATTTTAAGAGTGCCAAAAGCAGCCATGAAGGTGGTCAAAACAAAATTAAGAGTAGCAGAATTGGAAGCTTGGGATGAAATTATTACTGTCTCCATTCGGGAACACTGGGGAGACAGCTGAAATAGTGAAAACTTTCCCAACGTGCCGACACTCACCACTTGGGTGTCTTCACAGTTTGAGGACACACCATCCCGCATCATTACGACAACGAGCGGAAGCCTTTGCCTCGGAGAGTTTCCCAACTTCGAAGACTCTATCGGAGCACACGGGACGGCTCTGAAACGCAGGCCTTCACAGGAATCCGATCTAACGCAACAGGTTCAAAGAAATTAAGCTTAACAGAATGAAAAGCTGGATGAGTTCGTGAGTATTTATGGTGGAAACAGTGCAAACAGAGACGAGATTGGACAGGGCCAAGCACTGTGCTTGGTCCTAGTTTGCTCTCTTCTTTCGTACCCGTCTCTATACCGATCGCGCAGTGAGGTATGGTTCGGCAGTAGCACTATCTTATACGGCATTTTCGCAGATTTGAGACCACCCCGGGCACAATCATCGGATCCAATTTCGAGCTTGAACGTCCGAGTGTTTTGCTGAACTGGGGCGCAGGGCTTAGCCTGCCCAAAGTTGCCATTTCTGGCCACCAGCTGCCGCGCTGACTATCGGCCGACCGAGTCACCTTCTGTACACTGCCCTGGGGCTGCTAGCGTTGTTTCCACAATAAAGGTCAAACAGGAGATGAAAAAAGTGCCAGATCATCATAAATTACTGGTCAATAGACCCTTTCACAAATTCAGTGCCATCTAGTGGCTGAAATAATAGTTCGAATTGTTGTATGCTCATGGCGGATAAAATCTGGTACCTATTCATCAATGGTAAACGTACGAAAGTTACGGTCTTTCTCAATAAACAGTGATTTCTCTATTTGCTTCAGTTTCAATGATGTCAAGAAACTAACACTCGGCATAAGGCGCTTAAAGTTGAATAACCCTGCTGATAAAATTAACATTTCATTGTCACGAGCTGTCTGGGGCGTGCTGAAACCGAGCATTCCAAGGACCTCCATGACAGCCTCAGATGTGTAGTGCATAGAAGATTACCAAGTCTCGTCACGGTGACATTGAGAAACAATACAGCGAAATAATGTCTGGATGCTCAGGCTCTGCATCGGTTTCTGTCTTCATATTCTTTCCTCACCAGCCATCAAAAGCCCTCCATTCGCATGTACAGATGATGCACACTTAGATGATGATAGCTATCGAGGTGGCGAGACTGAATTTCAGAAAGGGTCTAATGAACACAGTTGTAAGTCGAAATACCTGACTGACAGAGCATGACAGTGCTGCTTTGTCGGATGAATAATAAAGAAGGCTTCGGCATCGAACCGCACCCATCCCTACCCACAACTCATCCGAACATAGGCAGCATGAATTCTTGGGGTGGGCATACTTTTGAGCTGTCTTTCCTCGAAGAACGAAAAGCAGACGTGTAAAGATTTGTACTCTGAGCCAGTGGCGTGACTAGGGCCAACGGCACCCGGGGGTAATGGCCCGCTGTTACATACCCCCCCTTCACTACCTAGCTACACCCCCTGAGCGCTGCACCCGGGGCAATTCAACCTCCTTTGCCCATCCCTCTGTGACAACACTGCTCTGAGCTATCTAAATAGCGTTCATTCTCCGCCATCTTAGGTTTCATCCACCTCCTCTTCATATTTTACTGTTTTCCTTTAGCACACTATGCGAAGCATAAGTTTGTCTGCTTCTTGCACAGAGGTTGCGACGGTGTTGAACACCGCGAGCTCTTATTGGCTGATTGAAAAAAAATAGTGGGTAGACCTCAAGGCATTTAGCATTGAGGTATTTATTTATTTCAAATACCCTTAAGGTAAGAGAATTGAAGAGGGGAGAGAGCTGTAATGTATTAACTATAAAGTGCACATATTAGTAATAACATTTTCAATCAGTGATGTTAGCAATCAAAGCGGGAAGGTGGTTCTAGTCTATAGATGTTTGTAGCGTAAAAGAATATTGAAATAATGAAGCTTTAAAATTTGGAATACCAACCTTATGGCTATGATCAATGCGAGCAGACATGTAGAATGGTGGAGTAATTAGTTTATGACGAAGGGTAACATTTTGATAAAATATTTTATGAAAAAGACACAAACGAGAAATTTTTCGGCAGTGAATTAGTAACAACAGACCTAAAGTATTTTTCCTGGTAGTAATGCTGGCAGTGTGATGATAGTTTGTCAATATAAAATGAGCTGAGAGGTTTTGAATGGATTCAACTAGAGCAATCAGTGACGAATGGGCGGGGTCCCACACAGCAGCAGCATATATTCTAATTTTGGATGGATTACGGTTTTGTACATGGTTAGTTTTAATGAAGACTGTTAACTACATGCTCAATATGAATCTTCCAAGAAAGGTTACAAGTCGTATGAACACCAAGATATTTGTAAACAGACAGTGAAGCAAGGGGATTACTGTTTAGATGACAAGCATGACACACCAATTGAGCATGTGACACTCTCATGAATTTGCATTTTTTAGTGTTTAGTTCCATTAGCCACTGATAACACCACAGTGATATAGAATTAAGGTCAGACAGTAGAAGAGTAGTGTCAGATATGTCGGTTATTTTCCGGTATATTATGCAATCGTCAGCAAAGAGGTAAATAGAAGAAAACAAGTTCTGCACCGAATCATTAATGTAAATAAAAGAGGAGTGGGCCAAGCACTGATCCCTGTGGGATGCCTGAGGTGACTGGAACAGTACAAAAATTTGTATTATTAACAGTAAAAAATTGTAGGCAGTTAGTTAAAAAGGCATGAATCCAATTTAATATATACAAGAGTCAATGTTAAGTGATTGTAGTTTATGAAGGAGTTTGTGGGAAACTTTATCAAAGGCTTTTAAAAAAATCCAATAATACAATCATTTTCATTATGATTATGAAGAAAATTATGGAGATCATGCGTGAAGGATAGTAGTTGCGTCTCACACGAAAAATATTTTCTAAAGCCATATTGTGAACTTGTGAAGAAGTCGTTAGTTTCAAGATAATTTATCAACTGCGAGTAAATGATGTGTTCAAATCTTTTACATGGCACACCTGTTAAAGAAATTGGTCAATCATTGGATGGGTTTCGTTTTTTGCCAGATTTATGTATCTAGCCACTATCCTTTCAATCAAAGTAAATCGGAGATCGGCGTCATTCTGTGGTGTAACAGCAACTCCCGCAAAACAAGCAAAACAAGCAAACAAGCAAACAAGCAAAACAAGCTCTCTGCACACACTCCAGGGCTTTAGTTTTGATCCTTCCTAGGATAGCACGAAATAATATTTGACTGCACCGAGCTCGGTGATGTTCTCGGTCCTTGATGATGAATTGACTTCAGATTGAATTGTTGTTTGGTTGTATTTCTGACCCCATACACCACCTCATGTTTACAAACAAACCGGAGCGCTCCTAGCGAACGCCACCGACACCGCGCATGTGCGATGGGGGTGTGGGCAAGAAGCTCGCCGTCGCCCATAAACAAACCATTGGAATGAGATGCTTTCGGCGTCGGTGTGGCGCTCTTCTTCGCGTTGGAATAGTTGATCTGACGTCTTCCTGGCAATGTCCGACTACTTGAGCGGCCTCAGCGAAATTAACGAGGCTCGTTACATTGCAAAACTCGGCGTGAATAGTATAACATGCGGCGATTAATTCCACGTAGACGCTGCAGAGTGGACGCTAAAGCACAAATTCACATGGTGAGGTCCTGCTCCCTTTTTTCAGTCATGACGTCGCTCGGGCTGCAAAAGCCTGAACCGAAGCAGAGGTGTCGACGTCGATACTGAAAATTGCAAGCAGAATCGGACTGAGTGAATCAGGCATAACAAGTCGGTGATGGCCACTGGTAACAATTATCAACATCTCCTTATATCTACTGTTTACACCGAGCCCACTTACCGGTAGCAACCTTCAAACTTAAACGTCTTTTGAGGTGTGCACTTCTTATCGCAATTACCGGGTCAATGTTTGGTCTACGGGCCGCTGTCGTCTGAACGAGCACACGACAAGCAGAAACGTTTGAGAAAGCAGACGACAGCACGAACGATGAGGTGGCCGTTTGAACGTGTTGACGCACTGAACGTAGCCCGCAGGTGGTCCGTGCAACTTGGCGGTCTTCCCGCGTTCATGTTGGAACAAAACAAATAAATCTGATGACCTCAAGTATCCGTGAATTCAATCCAAAGTGCTTTCCACCTAAGCAATCGTGGTCCGACGGCTTCTGTTTTTCCTTTTTCACGGCCCCTATTCACGTTCTCGGACGAACTGAGCAGGCAGAAAACGCATGAAAATTGACCTTCAAACCTTTCCCGACTCTTTTGGTAAGGCCTCAGTCACGGCGTTTTGACGAGAAGGCAGGTTTTTGTCTGGTTTCTTCCAAAGTAACACAGGAATGCACGTGCCCCATGGCGGCTTCCACCCACAGCCCCAGACCGGAAGTGTGCCCGACGCGCCACCACCGCACCATGACGTAACAGAGATGAGTTTGTGTATAAGGACTGCAAAAGAGAGCCACAGAGCCCCGTAGACCTTTTCGAACCAGGACCATGTCGTCTGGTTTGATCTCTGGGAGTGCGCTCTGATGCCGTGTTGTAACTTTGTTGCATTGTCGATCTGTACTTTTTCTGCGAGAGTGTGGGTCTCTGTCGCTCTTGCAAGACGACTTTGCCAGTGAGGCCCAAGGTATGGTCAGCCATCAACCACGGGATTTCTCCACAAGCAGCAAAGTGTGGCCTGCAGCCTAGTCCTACTGTCTGGGAGTCGTTGTGGTGTGCTACAGATGCTTCAGGTGGGAACTGCTTGACGTCTTACATCAAGGAAGCAGTTCCTTCCTTGATGCCTCAAAGAAGGAACTGCTTGATGTCTCATATGATCCTCTCGGCCAGCGAGTTGGCCTCTGTACGCTAAGGAGCAGGGAAGCTCAGCTCCATGCCTCTTGCATCCGTCCTCACTCTAAGCTTCTTGCTTCAAAATGCTGGGCTATTGTCTGCAACGATGATCTTGGTGCTGCTGACGACTTCTCGCTCCACGAGTAAAATGACTGAGTCTGCATCCTCCATGCCAGCTTTGGTGGCCACGGATCGTGTACATTCGTCGATGGTGACAAGAAATGCTTACCGTAGAATACTGCGCATCTGCCCACTCCACACTAAGCGCCCATTCCCAAATTTGCAAGATCTGAAAAAAAAATATGCACAGTACATTGATATGTAAAACTGATGACCAGACAAGCGCCCATCCCCCGTTTTTTCGCGATTATCTCTAAAATTTGAGTGGGCGCTTGCCCGGTATTTTACAATATGTTCTCTTGACACCTTTAACTTTTCTTTTTAATTTCTGCAAAATCGTGGTGAATGTTCTCAAAGGGTACCTTAGAATAATTAGGCACCACCACTTGATTCCCGTCAATATTTGGCCTTGTTTACTTGGCATGCATAGCATGTTCTAAAGTGGTTGTTGACGTCATTCCTCGTGTTCTTCCATGTGAACCGTCTTGTCAGTTTCCAGCAGGCACATAGCCAGGAATTTGATTCGTGGGGGGCACGCCCATAACAAAATGGAAGATTTTTTAGGGGGGGGGGGGGGGTGGGGAGGGCAAGGAGGCCGGGACCAATAGTCCCCCCCCCCCCTCGTTCCCTACCTCCCTCCCCCCTTGGGCAATGTGCCTGGTTTCCACCAAGTTTTCCAGAATCCACTGTGGCCTCGAGATTCAGGGCCATCGTGGCAGAGTTGTAAGACAGTGGGTATACTGGACTCGGGCATGTTCAATCATTCATTCTTGAGCTCCATGTCTTTGGTACCTATGCTCAGATGATTGATGCCTCCCTCAAGGGTTTCCTTTGGGATGTGAAGTCTTGATAAGGCATCTGCATCAGGAAGCTTTTTTCCAAGTTGTTGGGTCACGTCGCATGTAAATTTCTGTACATCGCTGATCCACCTGGTGAAACGTCCCTTCGGCTGAGACAGGTCCAGGAGATGGGTCAAGGCTTGACTGTCTGTGAAGAGCTTCAAATGTCGCCCTTCGAGATAACCTTGAAAGTGCCTGAGAGCCGTGACCACTGCAAGAGCTTCTTTTTTTGTTGTTGCAGTTTTCTTGCGTTTTTGAGAATGTATGGGAGTAGTACTATCCAATGACATTGAGTTCATGATTCAAAGGTTCTGTTATCTGCCTCTGGTAGAGAACGGCTGTTCAAACTGTACACAGTTTGAACAGCAGGTAGTAGTCCGGCAACACTAGGACTGGGTCCGACGAGATGATCTTGACCAACTCCCTGTATACTTGTTCGCATTCATTTGACCAGGTAAATGAGACTTTATTTTACGTAAAAGCAGTAAAGCACTTCGTTTTGATAGCATAATTTTTTATGAAAGCCCGGAAAAGTCCAGACTGCCCAAGATGTGCAGAGTGCTAGTTTTACGGTTTTACCCATTGTGAGATCCCTTGCACCGATTCTTCTTTGGTGTTTTTCATCTGTCCATCGGACACTCATTGTAGGAAGACCACCGTATTCTGAAAAAATTTGCTTTTCTTAGAGTTCATCTTTAGTTTTTCTCTACTTGGTGCTTCAAGAAGTCTAGATACATGGTCGGCATGCTGTTGTTTCGTTCGATGATGATGTTGTCTACGTATATGTTACAGAACTGACCCAAGAAAGACTTTTAAACACTGTTCATAATTTTCTGAAACCAGGCTCCAGAGTTTTTCCATCCAAATGAAGGCCTGTTATACTCGTACATGTCAAAGAGGGTTACGAAGGCTACAAAATGTTTGGTTTTCTCTTGTAGAGAGACTTGCCAATAATCTTTGCGAAGATCGATCGCTGACAACCACGAACATCCTCAGGTTTTGTTAATTATGTCGTCCAGCCATGGCACGAGGAAAGGGAAGAACTCTGGTTGGCCATTAATAAGACTGTGAGGAAAGGGCAGCGGAGGCAACCAAGCGCTGCGGCTGCAGACGATGCGTCAACAAAGCAGCTCTCCCGATCTCCCGTTGGCGCGGGAGCTTCAAGGGAGGGCGCCACGGATCCGTATTGTCATAGCTGTGAACTTCAATAGACTTCCCTGTGCGTACCTCTGCACTCATAATGCTCTCGTTGTTCCTCCCAATAACGATAATGGGGCTGTAGAGGATGATAGACGTGATTAGGTGAACAGTCTTGTTCGCAGTTGTTTCAGGTGTGTGCCTGAGCTGTCAAGTTTCTAGCCAAAAAATATTCATAAGGTGGGCTTTCATGGTTTGAGTTACGGTCCATGCAGACACCCTGCAGTGATTGCAACGGCTCCTCTATGGTAGTTGACGCTCTTGTGTAAACATGTTTTTGACTGCCGCTCTTCATTCCATGAATGATTAATGAAACAGAGGACATTTCTGGCAGTACAGGGTTGGCAAGATAGAGAAGCATTTGTTTCTCACAAAAATAACTGAGGCAATTACCTTCTCCATGTTTCTACAAAACTGCTTGGTCCTAGTGCTCATTGGCGTTTGTTTCAAATGACGTCGTAAAGCTTCTTTTCCAGAAGTCCCATGAGTGGCCTGCATGTTCGCAAATTCAAAGCTTGTATTGTTTCTTTGCATTTTCCGGTAGGAAGGGATGCAAGTTCTTTACTTTGTTTCCGCATCTTGTATATAGGTTTTTGTCACATGCACACTCGTAAAAGCCAAGCCAGACAGCAGCTGCCACCAAGTCGCCGTACAGTGTGACCGGCTTTACCAGTTTTACATTCACGTGTTGTCCTTGTATTGTTTCCGTCACAGCTCCAAGCATCTGTATCATTTGCTCATGTTGTAGCAGTTGTGTATGGAGGAGTTTCATAAGCACTGATATGTGATGCTCTCCTCAATCCCGGCTGCCCGACCGGGAGTTTTTCCAGGTTTCTCTAACCAAACGTTGGAAATCGTGAAACGTGATGTTCAATTTCAGGCTACCCTTTTGGACGAGTTCTGCCGATGATACTTTCTCCTTGGCAGAGAAGAGACAAGCGTGACAATCTCCTGGCTGTTAGGCACGCCTCCAAGGTGGACTGGTTTTTCGTCCATGAACTTCTAGCCTCTTGGTTGGTCTCGCTCATCCTGGATTATATTTATCTGGATCTACACTGTACGTGGGAATCCTAACGGCTGCATCAAATGTAAAGATTCATACTCCGAGCGATCTAAACTGTGTTCATTCTACCCCATCTTAGGTTTCGTCGACTTCTCGTTTATGTTTTACCCAGTTACATTAGCACACTATAAAGGGTGCATCACCTCTCGGGGTATTGCGGTAAACTCGACCCATGCATGAATCGCATCAAAATGTAAACTTTGTCCCGAGATAAGGATACTGAAAAAGTTCGCCTTGTTCCAAGGTGTGCTGCGACCAGAGTGTTCCGTCCACGCCACCCTCGAATAGGTCGATCCATCGCAGCTCGTTGCACCGGTGATAAGCGGAGCAATTCAAGCCCCAGTAGCATCTCATCTTGAATTGACATGTGGACGAGACTACCAGATCGATGCCATCTGTTCAACAAGAGAAAGCAACAACGCTACGTAAGACTCAAGCACTGTCGAGTCATACGCCATATAAATAAACCAATAAACGGGGTGCAATAAAAAAATTTCCCAATAATGTCTTAGCTGGTACGTGGTGCATTTAGGATTCTCGAATGTCACGAGTGCAGGTATGTTTTTCATCTGGTGCCACCTAAATACATTTTTTAGGAAACGTTTCACAGCACTTGGACCAATATGGTTTTTATTCTTTCTTTCCTACGACTGAATAACTCGTATTGCTACAGTTGGAACCGCTGACGGGGCTTACCCGATAAACTGGCATTGCCGCGATTTTCCACCGTGATGCTGAATGGATTTTCCACCTTGACCATGTGCTGTTGGTCTTTGGTTTGCGCTACGTAGGTCACTGATGACCCGGTGAGCATTGAATCTCTTCCGAATCTGTAAGAACCACGATCATGTCTCATCAAACGAACGCGATGAGCAGTCGCATTCAAAATCTGGAAAGAAAAAAACACGAAAAAACGAAGGTATCACGCGCACACCTAAAAATGACAAACAGGAGGAGTATCAAGCCAGATACTCCGATAGCTGCCGTCCAAGCTAAATCGTCCGGCGTCGCAGTTCGGATGTCCACATCCATTAGATTTTAAGAAGACCCCATTCGCAACAGCTGCAAACACCAGCGCGCGACCGCGCTACCACAAGAAAATGAAATAAAAACAAAACAAATGGACGCGTTCGTTTGCACGATTTCAAAGGCTGTTTAAAATTTTACTCGAGTGTATCTGAGTTACTCTATGCGGGTAGCTTACCCAGGTTGCCGGTTATCAAGCGTACCGAGATCAACTATACATTTCGTTTGTATGCCCTTGTCTTATTTCTATGTGCTTCGTTTTCTTCTTTCTGGGGGTCAGATTTTAAGTTTGTTTAAAATTTTAGTCCAAATAAGCCAAAAATTGTGGCTCTTCTAAACCGGCCTGGATTGGATAAGGGAAGGTTACCCTTAGTTACCCCAGTTACCCTCACTTGGGTCTGCTGGTTCTGCTGATGTGTTTAGGCGCGGCTTTCGCGGTTTCACCAGTTTCACCAGTTGGCAGTTTCGCTGGTTTCGCTTCGCTGTCTCGTGCGTCCCGTGGATTTGTCATTTCGTTTCCGTGTGAGTAACGACTCTTCTTATTTTTGTCTCCCTGAGATTCCTGATATCACTTGCGAAAAAGCCTGTCCGCTGTGTCAGCTTGTAATAGCGTCGCCCAAAACTCTTGGCATCCTAAACCTTACGATGTCGTATCACTATAGAGAGATATTTATATGAAGTTTATGTAGTTTAGGTACTGGCCACATCGAAGCCGTTGCCGCCCGTACACATGTGCCTAGTTCCCGCACGCGCACTATGGAACGCTGTCAAAGAGTCTTATCTGTGCGGGTCCATATCACAAGAGCGAATGACATTTTAGCGAACGGCGACATTTGAGCGAATGGTCGTTTTAGCGAATAACGGGGGCGCGCGTTAACCCATCCGTCGCGCTGCGCTTTACGCCGCTTCGCGGCGACAGTCTGCGGCAACTCATTACAAAAATATGAACTCACTTGGCCCACCCGAAAACGCCGCTTCGCGGCGTCCGACTCTTCGCTAAAGTGTCATTCGATGAAACGTGGGCGTTCGCTAAAACGTCATTCGATCAAGTGAGTGCCTCCCTATCTGTGCTTGAGCACGCGGAAATGCACCGCAAGACCAAGACGCGCTCGCGCCAACAGCTGTGAGAAGCTCCGCCTCCGGCACGTGGTCGTTGCCTCCTCTCTGTTTTGAGTGCGCATGCGACCATGTGTAAAGTGACCATATTCTTTGGGCCCCAAAGCGGGACGCGTATCGGGGGGGAGGGGGGGGGGGGGGGGGTATTGTGTTGCGAGACTTGAAAAGTTTTAATTTCGGTAACAAATCATACCTTTTAACTATTTCGTATACACCGTGTGCATTTCTTTTTCTTGCAATTTGCGTACTGTGTGACTTGCAGCTATCTAATACATTTGGTTTGAATATCCCTTTAGTATTAATGTATGTATTTATTTTTGTGTACTATGTCCATAGTATACTACTCACAGGTCATACGCCGATCAACCTTCAGCATCTTCTCTGTCGAGCATATCTTGTTCCTTGATCAGAGAAAGCACCCTCTCACCGGTGCGATCCTTTTGTTTAACCGAATCTTTCATCTATCCGTGGTTCGAGGAGCAAAAGCGGGACAAAACGGCGTCCCACAAGCACACTGGCGGGACAGCGGGACCACGGCCAGAAAAGCGGGACCTGTCCCGCCTAAATCGGGACGTCTGGTCACTTTAACCATGTGTCATGAAAGGCAGCAAACTCGCGCAAGAGGCAAATCAACCACTGAATTTTCAAGACGAGAACGCCTCGGAGCCTCTTTCGGAGGCGCCCTGGAAATACCATTCTCATCCCGCGCTTCACCATCCAACAGTTCTGCGTCCATTCGTAAAACGTAAAAAAAGATAAAATATTAAAGTTTCTTTTTATCATGGAGTCTCGACTGGTGCCCCATGCGTGCAAGCACTTGCAGCATGCGCGTGAAGACAGCTTTGGCAGGCCTGCAATAGACCCTTTGCAAAAATCTCAAAAGCCCGCGAGCGCCGCGCGACGAATGATGGGAGTCCTGGGTACCCCCTCCCACCGTCTTTCCTGCCGCTACCACGTGACATACTCAAGCAGGCACAGGTTACCAAGGCAACAACATTCGAGCAGCCCAGTTGGACCGTCGGACGAGCGACAAACTAACATCTAGATAACAAAGCCATAGCGCTGATCGAGATGTCATCAGTGAAGGTCACCGCTGGTCACAGATTGGACAGGACCATTGCATCAATGTTCGGCTAAAATTTGACTCGAAGTCGAGCGCTGACGCAGCACTCATTTTTAATCTGTGTTTGGCGTTGGCTTTCGTTGGTGACGCAGAAATGTCAGCACTATGGCCTTGTCCTCTGGGCGGTGTTGGTCGAGCGCATGGAAACGGGGGAGAGGGTATCGCATTTGCTATCTTGCGAGGCTGCCCCTTCCTCATCCTTCTCCTTTGTACCTGTGCCATTGCTTGCTGCACCCGCCAACGCTTTGTCAAACCTAGTCTAACCCTGCTACAGTTGTGCAATATAAGTGGATTCGGTGACACGGCTAGATATGAAGGTAAGTTACGACGAATAGCATATTTAAATAAGTGAGTAGCTTCATCCGTCGCGATGTGTTTATGCTTCTACAGATACGGTACGCCGCCAACGATGTACCTGTGGAATGGGTGCAACGGCTGCTGGCGTTAGCTTCCGCAATTTGCGCGCTGCCGCGGAGGTGCAATGAGGAAGCGCGTGATCTTACCAAGGATTCCCAAACTCCCCTACTATCGTGGCGCTGTACATTTTGTAGCATGTCTATTTCAAGTGCTTGCTCATGCCAGATGCCCTGTTTGCAATCGTCTCTACATAAAATCAAATATAATATTTTTCCTGTTTCTTTTTTTTTGAAAACAGCATTTTAGCTCGGACAGTGTGAAAGAAAACCTGCCAAGCCTGGAGTGTGTAAGCACTTGAGAATTAACTGGTAGGCTGGCTTTGGCTGTGCTTTCTTTCGCAGTCTTTTCTAAGGCTGTTTCTGTGTGGGGCGCAAGTTTTCATCTGCTTCCTGCCTAGGGGTTGAGGTGACGTTGAAATGCTGAGCTCTTATCGGCTCCTATTTGACGGATACTGGGTAGGCCTCGAGGCAGCTAGCATTAAGGTCTACCCACTATCCTTCCAATCGGAGCTCTGTTTTCTGACGTCTCTGCAACCCCTGCGCAAGATGCAGACGAACTTGCGCTCGGCATAACAAGCCAGCTTTGGTCTTCATCATTTTGGTCTTACACTGTATCGTCGCTCTTTCACAGAAGTCGCTTCTCCAGGGATGGCACCTCAGAGGTCTACAAAACGGGTGCGGGTGCCCGAAAGGAGCTGCGCAAACCCACGACTGCAGAACGAAGGTATGCGTCGAGCAAGTTCGTCCGCTTCTCGCGCTGCGGGTACAGTGACGTTTTAGTGCCAAATAGGATGACCACCTTCCTGCTAGCGAAATGCGGGACACGCCAGGGGCGGTACGTTGGTAGGTAGGTAGGGGATTTATGAACAAGCACACCATAAACCGAGGCTCTGTTATCAAATTTAATATCCTGTGCTGTTTATACACCTGCAAATTGTATTGCAGCAATTAAACTAAAATTATTTTCACTCCCAGTGATACATTTTTTTGTGCCAAATATGTTATTCTGTGTTATTAAATCTGTTGAAATTAAAAGCATAAAAATGAACTGCAGCAGAACTCAATGCATCAATTGAAATTAAGAAACAATAAATCTTTTTTGGGTTATGGTTTCCCTGTCAACGCTTACTTTTATCAACATGGTCCTACGCAAATTTCAACATCATGTTCTTTTTTGACCGTTGTGAGTTGCAGGCTTTTTGCATTGTGTAACTGTCTTTGCAAGAAAAAAAATCCACAGCAACCCAGGCAACGCGTCTATAAAACATTAACACAGCAATTTGAAAAAAAAAAAAAAAAAGAATTACACTATTTTGCAATTAAACTTTATGCGAGCAACTTTTCTAACAATATTTTGCTGCCGGGGGGAGAGGCACAACTGAGCATGCGCGTCAGACCTCCTGGAAGAACGACGGTCGCTTCCCGCAATCCTTGGATAGAAAAGGCCGTACCATTTCGATTCACATGATTACCAGCGACCTCCGCGCTTCCCTGTGCCCCGTTGTTCGGCAACACCATGAGTTGCTGAGTGAATTTTACGACAGTGTGTAATGCGGGACATTTTGAAGATTTGGGAATTTCTTGCGGGCCGCAGGACACGAGCCCTCAATGCGGGACGGGTGGTCACCCTAGTGCCAAACTCTGATTGGAAGGATCGTGGGTAGACCCAAAGGCTAGCTGCCTTTGTCCCTATCCACTCTTCCTCCAATCGGAGCGAACTGGAGCAATTGTTTGCTCCTCGCACAGGAGGGTCAGTGGCACAAAGGGTCAGCGTTCAGGTGCCGAACGCCTACACTCTGCTAGTCGTAACAATGGCTGTCTGACCTTTTCTACAGCTTTCAGAAGTCCGCTAGGTCTTTACAAACGGGGACTTGGCCTTTGAGAAAGGGGAAAGGAAATACTTCAAAGACTGTGTTCCTCGAAGGGGGCACCTGTGAAAACAGGTGTTTGGTGAGTGGCGTCACCATGGACCCTGAGCCATGCAGGTTCGCCCACCCACGTCTGGCTATGCATGGCTTTTCCGTGTCTGGAGGGAAGGGCATCCTGGTGTTTGAGCCAAGCCCGGGGTAGGTGTGGACCCTTCGGGGCCCCCCGGGTGAGGCAATGCACCACTTCGGCCCCCGCTTCTCATAGGCGGGAGTCCTGGCAAGGCCCGGCCAGGATGATTCAATCTAGTCGCCTTCTACTATACCCTTCCATCTTTCACTTTTACCTTGCCTGTTTCTTTTACTCCTCTCTTATATCTCTTACTCCTTTTTCACCCCTCTATGGTGGCAAGGGCTAACCTTGCCACCACTATGGTATAGTTTCCCGGCAGTACTGTTAGAGTAACGTTTCCAGCAAAGCCCCTTTTGTTGCGGTGCATTACCTAACCCCTTGTTGGGCTCGGTTGTGGGCGGTGCACCGTGGATTCTGAACACTCTCTGCCCTCTTATGATGCCCCTCCCTTCCAAACTCCGTTCAGGCCAAGCCTTCGAAAGGCGTTGTCTTGAACCGAAGACCATCGACAAAGATCCTGAAGTAGAAACATTTACAAAGTTTTAATGCGAAAGCATTAAGTGTTTCATGGAGCGAGCTGACGTCATCTCTCTGAAGCGCGAAAACGGCGGATAGTTTCTTTCGGTTCCATTGACTGGCACACATCGACGGGGCTCCCATTGGCCACTGCGCTCGTCAGTTTCCACGACCGCTCACCCCATGGCGCTGCGTGTCCATCAGCGTGGAGCGTCCAAGGTCACCAGGGGAGCACACACGCTGACCGGCAACGAAAAGTATGATGCAGACAAAAAAAGGAGCGGACGAGCGGCTTGCAGGCTTTCGCATTTACAACTCATTAGAAATGCTTAGGTGTACCTCAGTCTTTTTCGTTGTTCATTCGCTTGATGAAAAAAAAACCTGTTGTTAAGCTGTCACCTTTTGTTGTTGCGAAGGTACTGGAAAACCTTGTTGGGTTTCCCTACAAGGCTAAGAAGCAGCACTCCCGAGACCTCCTAGTGGAGGTAACGACCAAGAGACGAACTGAAGCGCTCATGAAGCTGGTTTGTTTTCTTGATGTAAAACTGTCGGTTAGCCCTCACCACTCGCTCAACACCATCCGTCGGGTCCTCTCCTAGGACGACTTCTAGCACACTAGTGACGAAGAACTCCTCGAAGGACTCCAAGGTGTTTGCGTTGTTGCCATGAAGTGCATCGTATTTCGTAAAAATGATGAGGAAATTGCTTCCAAACACATACTCCTGGCTTTTGCAAGACACACACTGCCAGAAACCCTCAAGGCAGGATACCTTAAAGAGTAAAATCAAAGAAAAAAAAATGTTTTTATACAGCCTAATTGGGACAAGCATGTCACAAAACAAATGTTCCGCAAAAGAAAATAATTTTTTTAAGCAAAATTTACGCCACAGGACGTAATTTAGTCAGAGTCGGAACCTCTCCACATTTGAAACTCCCACTCTTTCAACCCCCGCGGAGAACTACGCCCCTTGGGGTGACTTGGCTGCAGAGGTGAACGACGCAGCGTCTCGACTTCCGGTAAGATCTGGCAACATTGCACATTAAACATGGCACCGGTATTGTTTTGGTTTGACCACGACCGTGGGTTTGACTGGACATGAGAAGCTGCGCAGTTTGCGAACACATAGCGAAGACGTGACCGGAGAAGTGCCCCTGTGATGTTCCCGGAAGATGGAAGGTATCATTCTTTATCGTCGTGTGTGCTTTGAAAGCGAAGGGAGTCGCAGGGTTCACGAGTGCGCAACCACAAGCCAACGTCGACGACAGCGGTGCATTGACTTCGGCGATCTCGTTCCGTTTAATGCAACACGGCGATGGGACAAAAAACTGAAAGGTTTGTGGTGTGTGTGGTGCGGTGCTTGGGAGTAGACACCTACACTAACACGGAGCGCAAATTGGTTGTGGGGTTGAGGTTCAACGGGTTCAGTCCCTTCGTTGTCGGCTGATCCAGTCAAACTAGTGTGGGACGACGCAGCGAGCGTTTTTAAAAGTAAATTTTAGTTTGTTCCGTTTGAAAATGTGGAAGATTCCCGACTCATACCGTGAGTAAAAAGTTGCGGGCATTTTCAACAAAATTGCGTTGTTTTAATTGAACAATGAACTCCGGATTGTTGTCCTAAATCTGCCGTTTTTATGCTTCGTGTTGTACTGCCTTTGCACAGCGACGTGTTGCACTCATCGTGCAGTGTGAATAAATTTAGGCAAGATTTCCTACCTGCCCACAGATGCATGAACTGAGACCATCTTTTATGTAGTGAACATAGTGCTTTTTTTTTTATTTTGGGAAGAGGCGCTGTGGCATTTATTACGATAAATCTCGTGAGCGTTCGGAAATTGGGGAGGGTGAGCAAGCTTTCCAAACTTTGTTTCTTTGCTCTCTGGCACTGCCCCTAGTTTGCAGTTTCAGTGGACATACCTACTAGCAGCCAGCAGGTACAGTGTGCTAAACTGTTAAATATAACGCGGGAGCGGTGGCTGAAACTGATATTAGAGCTGTCTAGTGATTAAATGGATGATGCGGCCGCGAATGGAATCGAAGGCCACCCAGGTCTCGCCTGAAGCCCTGGCAGTGGCCCCTCGGGCCCCAACTCCCCCGCAGGGGCAGTGGCAGCCCCTCACCTTCTGGAGGGAGCACATCAGCTGCCCCCAAGTCTTGGGACAGGCAGGCAACGCCAATGCCCGTCCTTACTTTGACGCCATCCTCCAGTGGAAAGGGGCGAGACTCTCGCCCCAACTCAGTGGAGAGGGCTTCCTTCACCAAAGAGCGGCACAACTCTCGTGCTGCTCTCCCGGTATCCAAGGGCAGGAACGGGTGGACCTCCTCCGCCTCTTCAGCTGGGTCTGGTTGGGGCCGGGGTTTGCAACCTCATACCTCAAACCTTCGCAGGTCTGCAGGGAGAGCCCCACTTTTAGAGGTGGAGGCGATGGAACAGTGCGCCGAGTTGTTCACTCTTGCACCCGATCAGAACGACATGGAGTGGCAGCTTTTCAAGACCAAGCACAAAAGCAAAAACCCCGTAATCGCACCAAAATGATGTGCCTGATGTGGCTGCCTGTTTGAGATTGAATCCACTCGTTTCTTTCTTTGCCCTCTTTTTTTTTATCTGATTTTAATATATTTACAAAATTAGTAAATTTGTTTTTATGCAGTGGAACTGCCACGGCCTTTTACGAAGTATTGACAATGTTAATTTTTTTTTATGAACGACCTGCATCCTATAGCTTTCCCTTTACAAGAGACACCTTAATGATCATCATGTGTCTGTTCTACGTCGTCACCAAGCGCTCAGAAAGGACTGTTCTACATGAAATTCATCTGGTGGAGTAGTGGTGATCATCCAAAGCGGAGTTGCTTGTTCTCGGATTCTTCTTTCTATGCCCCTTGAGGCTGTAGCTGTATGTCTCCTCTTTTACCGCTTTATCGCCGTTGTTTCCATCTATATTCAACCAAATGGTCCACTGCATATTCATGATCTTCATGATTTAGTTACTCAGCTCCCTCAACCCTTTTTACTTGCGTGGCGGTTCCTCTATCAGCAGCTCTGTTCCAGCAAAGGAAGTGTGGAACCGACTTCACAAGGTCGAAGGGAAATACAGTGAAACCTGTTTAGAACGAACCCACCTACAGCGAATTATTGTCGATATCGAACTCTCAGTAAATATAAATATAAATGCATGTAAAAAGTTATTTTTATAACGAACAATATATTG